CTTCAGCCTGGCACATAAACCCTGGATTCCCCATCCAGACTGAAGAGTGCATGAAATTGTTATGTTTCTATTTATTTCATTCCCTTATGTTGAATCATTTTTATTTGTTGCTCTGAGCCTTTTTTTTTTTTTTTGCTAATTACATTTGAAGTTTGTAGTCGTGTAGAAAGGAACAGAATATAAAAACGTAGTAGACCTAAAGAACCAACTCAACTATGGGACTTTGCTTCTCTTTATCAATTTGAGAATTACTTATATTGCTCTGTTCTATAGTGCCTTCAGATAATTCAGCCATGCTTGCCAAAGACAGTCTAGCCTGAAGACCATACAGCTGATTTGCATATATTTTAGCATTTTTGTCTTCTGTTTGCTTTAAATATTTCCTAAAACATAGAACAAATCAATTCATTTCTACCAAGGGCTAGGACTGGCCACAGTGAATTTAAATGCCTACCTCGTGAGCTAATAGGTTGTGTCCTGTCTCTGTTCAGCTAATAGGGGCTGCTTTCCTGCTCAGGGATTATTTCTTGCTGCTGCTCTTTGTTTTGCTGTTGTGTTTTTAGGACTGTGTCTGGTTATTTGCCAGCTATGGGACTAGAGCAGAGGTGGAATTCTGAGCTGTTGTTCTTATTCTGAGCCACTTCATCCTAACCCTCATCAGAAAAGGTTGGGAAAAACTAGATGCCTGTGAAGACTCCTTTAAAAACCCTGGGTGGGTTTGTTTTTTCAGCTATATTGTTAAGGTTTTCCACTCTGTATTCTTTAAGCAATAAATAAATTCCTCATTTTAAATGGATTGTTGTCACTTTATTAAACTTGTCATATAATCAGTGCACTCATATCCACACTGGAGGCAAGCAGTAAACTCCAAGATTAGGAAATGCCACAAGATGCTGTCAGTAAAGGAGTTCCGTCTAAAGAGCTATATTAGCCATAAGAAAAGATGAAACATTGCCATTTGTGACAACATGGTGGATCTTGACATAATCATGCTAAATCAAATAAGCCCCACGAGAAGTTGAGAACCATATGATTTCACTCATATGGGGATATAAAAAAAGCAACAAATGAACAAGACAAAGAAAAACTCATAGATACAACAGTTTAGTGGTTATCAGATGGAAAGGGAGTGGGGGGTAGATAAGAGTAAATGGGGTCAAATATATGGTGACAGAAGGAGATTTGACTTTGAGTGGTGAACACAATGCAATATACAGATGATGTATTGAAATCTATATAATTTTATTAACCAATGTCACCTTAATGAATAAAAAATAAAAGTAAAAAATTATTTAACTAATACTAAAAAATAGAACTCCTAGGATAATTCCTAATGAACTAAGCAAATCATCTCTTATTACTCATACAGCATTAGGATTTTGAGAGAGGGCAGAGAGAAGTGATAAAAATGGCAGCTTTGATATTTACATTGAATTCTCTCGTGATGGAAAAAATAGAAGGTTAGAGTCCC